AAACTTATTTAGAAACTCCATTCCTCAGTGAAATAAAAGGGTTAACATGGTTGGTGTATCTAATCAAACTATCTCATGTTTTAAAATCCATATCTATAACTTATAATTTTGTTGGATTGAGCTTTCCCCTTGAGGGCTCTAAATGTGACACCCTTAGTTAGTCCCACGTGTTTCTAATATACTGTGGTGCCTTCATTAACCTTCTGGGCTATGATCTCCTCAACAGCCATAATTCCCATATATCTTTTTCATCCAAAGGTAAACTTAGTTTTAAGAATTGGAGACAGAAGACCAAAAATGCCAAATTAAAAAACGTTCTGACAATCTACCAGGATTTAGTACTAATGATTTTTAAACATTTTCTTCTGGCTGGAAATATAAAATAGTGACAAAAATGAAATATTACAGAAGAGAGAACATTGGAATAATGTTCTGGAATTAGGGCTGGGAATGGTAAACTTGGAAAATGGTAACATTGGAATAAGGGCTGGGAATGGTAAACATTTTTTAGCCCCCCCAATCTTTCTATTAACTCCAGAAGCAAAGTATTTACTTAAGGGTATAAAATCTAACTAAGTCCTAGTCAAATATAGACATAAATAAAATATTCTCAGGCACCCTAGTAAAGGTTGAGATGCACTGAAAGAAACCACTATCCAACTGTAAACAATACCCCTATGACTGAAAGTCATAGTTGGAATTGCCCCATTATACTATATTATCTCAAAAAGGGGCTCATTATTCTTTGTACGTGTCCCTGAAAAGCCCTATATTCTCTGTAAAGCAAAAAATAAAACAAGCGGGAGAGAAGGAAGATTTGTACAGGAATTGAGGGCAATAAAAAATATCATAATATCCAGACACCCAGTAGTCCCCAACCCACGTAACCTATTAGCTATACTGACTACTGGCCAGTATTTCTCAGTTATGGATCTCTGCATTGCCTTCTTTAGTATTCCTGTAGATTCAGAGAACCAATATTTACTTGCCTTTACCTGGAAAGAATGTCCATATATGTGTACCGTAACACCACAAGGCTATGCAGAAAGTACCACTTATTTTTTTCCAAATATTAAAGACTGATTTAGAGGATTTAATTTTTCTCAAGGTGCAACATTCATCCAATATGTGGAAGACCTTTTCACTTTTTCAGACACATATCTACTTTTCAGGAAGATATCTAGGTTTACTCAGCCACAAAGGGACACAAAGTGTCTAAAGACGGACTTCATCTATACCTGCTCCAAGTTAAGTATTTGGGGCATATTACCTCAGTCAAAAGACTTAATGTTAATCCTGATAGAGTGATAGGAATTTAATCTTTTCCAATGCCTATTACTAAAAAACAACTTAGAGGATATTTGGAACTGGCTGGCTACTGCCGGAATTGTATTCCGAATTTCTCTCTTATGGCTCAACCTCTGTATGGTTGTATACCTATACAAATGAACAACTTGACTCCATCCATGTGGTCTCCAGAGAAAAAATCAACTGCAAAACAATTAAAGAAAACCCTTCTAAACTTTTATCATATTCAAAACCAGTCTGCCAACTAGCTGGCCTCTTATGAAGTTTCACTTTTATCATCCCCAAATATTAAAATTTCCTTCTGTAATAATCTTAATCTGGACACTCTCTTCCTGGGCCCTTTTGACAAAACCTCTCATGACTGTGTTCTTATGACTGCCCAACTTCTCACCTTGAAGACAGACCCACAAGAGATGCCACTGCATAATGCTGTGATAGATTTATATATAAATGGGTCGCATTTAAGAGGGGAGCATGGAAGTTTTAGAGCAAGATATCCTGTGGTTTTCTTACTAGAGGTAATTGAAGCCACTCATTTTCCCTAAGCAAGATCAACTCAAGTGACCAAATTGGTTGCCCTTATCTGAGCTTGTCAGTTGGTAAAAGACAAGACTGTGAACTGATTGCCATTATTCATTTGGGGTTGCTCATAACATTAAGATGCTATGGAAGAAGAGAGAATATTTAACCTAAAGAAAACCCATTAAAAAAAAAAACAGGAAACAAGTATCAGAGTTGTTAGGAAATATTCTAAACCCAGGACTTTTGGCAGATGTAAAAATCCCAGGTCACTCTACATTGAACATCACTGAAAGCTGAGGTAACAAATTTACTGATTCTAGAGTTTAAAGAGCAGCAGTAGAGCCACCAGCCTAAATCTGGGAAATGGCCATAAGATCCAAAGCACTTAAGAACACATTAAAAGAAACTCAAAACATTGCCCCAACTAAAGAGATATCTACTTGGAAACAGAAGGATACCTATCTCCTGAAACTCAAATATGGTGTAGATCTAATAATAAGCTCATTATTTCAATGGGATGTCAAGTGCCTCTTACAAAATATGTTCATAATCTAACCCATTGGAATTCATATAAAATGATATCTTGTTGTAAACAATATTACTGAAAACGATCCTTTATGATAGCATAAAATGTTTATTCCCAATGTCTTATTTGTTCCAAATATAATCCGTGGAATTTCCTATATAGGGAACAGGGTTATTTTCCTCTTCCAGCTGACCTTTTGAGGTATGGCATCTTGATTTTATTCAGCTGCCATTATCTCAAGTTTACAGATATGTTTTCGTGATGGTCTTCATGTTTTCCCATTGGGTTGAAGCTTTTCCCTGCAGGCAAGTAACAGCAATGGCAGTTAGAAAAATTATATTAGAAAAAAGTTATTCCATTATGGGGAGTCCTCTGTGAACTTCACAGTGTTACTGTGAAGTTTTACTGGCAGAGTTATTAAAAATATTTGTAAAACTTGGTCTATATTTTTAATGTATTCATTTTACCTATTATCTCAGTCCTCAGGACTGGTGTAAAGTACCAATGGATATATACCCAGGAATGGGATTGCTGGGTCAAATGAAATTTCTGTTTCTACGTCCTTGAGGAATTGCCACACTGTCTTCCACAATGGTTGAACTAATTTACACTCCCACCAACAGTGTAAAAGTGTTCCTATTTCTCCACATCCTCTCCAGCATCTGTTGTCTCCAGATTTTTTAATGATCGTCATTCTAACTGGCGTGAGATGGTATCTCAATATAGTTTTGATCTGCATTTCTCTGATGACCGGTGATGATGAGCATTTTTTCATATGTTTGTTGGCCTCACGTATGTCTTCTTTTGTAAAGTGTCTGTTCATATCCTTTGCCCACTTTTGAATGGGCTTGTTAGTTTATATCCAAAGGATTACAAATCGCTCTACTATAAGGACACGTGCACACAAATGTTCATTGCAGCACTGTTTACAATAGCAAAGACCGGGAACCAACCCAAATGCCCATCGACGATAGACTGGATAGGGGAAATGTGGCACATATACACCATGGAATATTATGCAGCCATCAAAAACGATGAGTTTGTGTCCTTTGTACGGACATGGATGAACCTGGAAACCATCATTCTCAGCAAACTGACAGAAGAGCAGAAGATCAAACACCACATGTTCTCACTCATAGGCGGGTGTTGAACAATGAGAACACATGGACACAGGGAGGGGAACACTACACACTGGGGTCAGTTGGGGGGAAATAGGGGAGGGACGGTGGGGGGTGGGAAGCTGGGGAGAGATAGCAAGGGGAGAAATGCCAGATGTAGGTGATGGGGAGGAAGGCAGCAAATCACACTGCCACGTGTGTTCCTATGCAACAATTTTGCATGTTCTTCACATGTACCCCAAAACCTAAAATGCAATAAAATAAATAAATGGAAAAAAAAAGTACCAATGGAATAATTAAAACACAATTGGCTAACTTAATAGAGGCATTTCACCTCCTGTGGCCCAAAGCACTCTCCCTCGTGCTGCTTACATTCAAATCCACCCCTTTTGGAAAACATCAGCTATCCCCATATAAAATTATAATGGGAAGGCCCATGTGTATGGGAAGCAAAATAACCAACCCAACTTTTTTAAAGGGAGGTATATTGCAATATTGTAAGGGAGTCATTCATTATCTTTTTTTTTTTAAGCCAGAATTTGACTTATTTGAATTTGTAAATTCCTTTCACAGTCGACTACCTAAAGACAGGGTACCTGGTCATAATCTGTAGTCTGGAGACCTTGTCTGTTAGAAGAAACATTTAATAAAAACTCCCTTCAACCACAATGGAAGGGCCCATACCAGATGCCATTGACTAATCCATGTGCCATGAAATTAGTGAATATAGACCCATGGAATCACAGATCTTATCTTAAAAAGGCAAAATCTCCAGAGTGGACTGTAACTTCTAGGAAGAATCTTCATTTTCAGTTTACTAAACACTGATATTTGATCCAGGATGAGAATCAATTGACAACTCTTGTGGACTGTGTAAACAGACACAGAATCAGGCGTGTATACAAAAGATCACCTTTGTTTATAGCATAATAGTCATTACAATTATTGTCCAAGAGATACTGGCAATTGATGTTTTATGCAAAAGAGGGTGCTTGCCTTTTCTTGTGTAATATCCTCTTAGTAGTTAAATTTCCAGACTTCCTCCAAGATGGCCAAATAGGAACAGCTTCAGTTCACAGTTTCCAGTGAGAGTGATCCAAAAGGCAAGTGATCTCTGCATTTCCAAATGAGATACACGGTTCATCTCATTGAGAATGATGAGATAGTGGGTGCAGCCCAAGGAGGGCAATCCAAAGCAGGGTGGACCGTCGCCTCATCTGGGAAGCAGAGGGGGCTGGAGAACTCCTGCTTCTAGCCAAGAGAAGCCATTAGGGGTGTTTCGTGACACTCTGACACTCTGGCTCAGATACTGTGCTTTTCCCATTGTCTTCACAACCTGCATACCAGGAGATTCCCTCCAGTTCCTACAGCACCGGCAACCCAGGTTTTCAGCACAAAACTGGGTAGCCGTTTTAGTAGTTTTTTTTTTCTCTCATACCCCAGTGGCTCCTGGAATGCCAGCGAGAGACAACTGCTCATTTCCCTGAAAAAGTGGGCTGAAGCCATGGAGCTAAGTAATCTGGCTTGACAGGTCTCACCCCCAGAAAGACGACGAGCAAGCTAAGATCCATGAGCTAGAAATTCTTGCAGCCAGAACAGCAGTCTGAACTCGACCTGGGACATTTGAGCTCAGTAGAGGGAGAGACGTCTGCCATTGCTGAGGTAGGTGATATTAACTTCCCTGTGTAAACAAAGATGCCAAGAAGTTTACACAGCAACTGGGTGGGGTCCACAGCAGCTCAGCAAGGCCTCTTCAGGCATACTGTAAATTAAACTGCCTTTCTGCTGGGCAGTGCATCTCTGAAAAAAGACAGCAAGCCCATCATGAACTTACAAATAATGCCTCCAACTTCCTGGGATGGGGCACCTATAAAAAATGGTGATTGTGGTTTCCCCCTCAGCAGACATAAACATCCCTGACTGGCAGCTCTGAAGGGAGCAACAGATTTCCAGCACAGTACTTGAGCTCTGATAAGGGACAGACTGCCTCCTCAAGTGGCTCCCTGGCCCTTGTGTATCCTGACTGGGAGACATCTCATACAGGTGAGATCTGGTTAACATCTGTTGGGTACTCTTCTGAGACAAAGCTACCAGAGGAAGAAACAGGCAGCAATCTTTTTGCTGTTCTGAAGCCCCTGTGGGTGATTCCCAAGCAAGCAGGTCTGGAGTGGACCTCCAGCAAACTCCAGCAGATCTGCAGCAGAAGTGCCTGACTCTTAGAAGGAAAACTAGTGAACAGAAAGAAATATCATCAACATCAACAAAAAGGGTGTCCACTCAGAGACCCCATCCAAAAGTCACCAACTTCAAAGACCAAAGGTAGATAAGTTCATGAAGATGAGAAGAAACCAGTACAAAAAGGCTGAAATCGCCGAAAACAAGAACACCTCTTCTCCAAGGGATTACAACTCCTCACCAGCAAGGGAATAATACTGGATGGAGAACGAGTTTGATGAATTGACAGAAACAGGCTTCAAAAGGTGGGTAATAACAAACTTCTCTGAACTAAAGGAGCATGTTCTAACCCAATACAAAGAAACTAATAACTTGAAAAAGGGTTAGACAAAATGCTATCTAGTATAACCAGCTCAGAGAACATAAATGGCTTAATGGAACTAAAAAACACAGCAGGAGAATCTCATGAAGCATACACAAGTTTCAACAGCTAAACTGATCAACTGGAAGAAAGGATATCAGAGATTGAACATCAACTCAATGAACTAAAGCAAGAAGGTAAGATTAGAGAAAAAAGAGTGAAAAGAAATGAGCAAAACCTCCAAGAAATATGGGATTATGTGAAAAGATGAAATCTACATATGATCAGTCTACCTGAAAGTGACAGAGAAAATGAAACCAAGTTGGGAAACATTCTTCAAGATATTACAAGGAGAACGTCCCCAACCTAGTAATGCAAGCCAATATTCAAATTCAGGAAATACCAAGAATGCCATAAAGATACTTCTCAAGAAGAGCAACTCAAGCCACATAATTGTCAGATTCACCAGGGTTTAAATGAAGGAAAAAATGCTAAAAGCAGCCAGAAAGAAAGGTTGGGTTACCAACAAAGGAAAGCCCATCAGACTCACAGTGGTTCTCTCTGCAGAAACCCTACAAGACAGAAGAGAGCGGGTGACAAAGTTTAACATCCTTCAAGAACAAACTTTCAACCCAGAATTTCATATCCAACCAAACTAAGATACATACGTGAAGGAGAAATAAAAATCCTTATGGACAAGCAATTGCTGAGAGAGCTCATCACCACGTACCTGCCTTATAAGAGCTCCTGAAGGAAGCACTAAACATGGAAAGAAACAACCAGTACCAGCCACTCCAAAAACATAACAAATGGCAAAGACCATTGATGCAACGAAGAAACTGTGTCAACTAACGGGCAAGACAGCCAGCTAGCATCAAAATGGAATAATCAAATTCACACATAACAATATTAACCTTAAATGTAAATGGACTAAATACCCCAATCAGAAGACATAGACTGGCAAATTGGATAAAAAGTCAAGACCCATCTGTGTGCTATATTCAGAAAACCAACTCAAGTGCAAAGACACACAAAGACTCAAAACAAAGGGATGGAGGAAGATTTATCAAGCAAATGGAGAGCAGAAAAAAAGCAAGGGTTACAATCCTAGTTTCTGATGAAACAGACTTCAAACCAACAAAGATCAAAAGATATGAAGAAATGCATTACATAATGGTGAAGGGATCAATGCAACAAGAAGAACTAACTATCCTAAATATATATTCACCCAATACAGGAACACTCAGATATATAAAGCAAGTTCTTAATAACCTACAAAGAGACTTAGACTCCTACAGATTAATAGCTGAAAACTCTAACACCCTACTGTCAATATTAGACAGATCAATTAGACAGAAAATTGGTAAGGATATCCAGGACTTGAACTCATATCTGGACCAAGCAGACCTAATAGACATGTACAGAACCCTCCATCCCATATGCACAGAATACACATTATTCTCAGCACCACATTGCACTTATTATAAAACTGACCACATAGTTGGAAGTAAAACACTCCTCAGCAAATGCAGAAGAATGGAAATTATAACAAACAGTCTCTCAGACCACAGTGCAATCAAATTTGAACTCAGGATTAAGAAATTCACTCAAAACCGCACAACTACATGGAAACTGAACAACCTGCTGCTGAATGGCTACTAGATAAATAATAAAATGAAGGCAGAAATAAAGATGTTCTTCGAAATCAATGAGAACAAAGACACAATGTACCAGAATCTCTGGGACACATTTAAAACAGTGTCTATTGGAAAATTTATAGCACTAAATTCCCATAAGAGAAGGGAGAAAAGTTCTAAAATTGACACCCTAGTGTCATGATTAAAAGGACTGGAGAAGAAAGATGAAACAATTTTAAAAGCTAGCAAAATAAATAAATAAATTAATTAATTAAAAAAAGAGAAATAATTAAGATCAGAGCAGAACTGAATGAGATAGAAACACAAGAAACCCTTCAAAAAATCAACAAATCCAGGAGCTGGTTTTTTGAAAAGATTAACAAAATAGATAGGCTAAGAAAAAAGAAGAGAGAATAATCAAATAGATTTAATAAAAAATGAAAAAGGGGATATCACTACTGATCCCATAGAAATACAAACTACCATCAGAGACAATTAAAAGCACTTCTATGCAAATAAACAAGTAAATCTAGAAGAAATGGATAAATTCCTGGACACTTACACCCTACCAAGAATAAACCAGGAAGAAGGTAAATCCCTGAATAGACGAATAACAGGTCTGAAATTTAGGCAGCAATTAATAGCCTTCCAACTAAAAAAAATTCCAGGACCAGATGGATTTACAGCCAAATTCTACCAGAGGTACAAAGCAGAGCTGGGATCATTGCTTCTGAAACAATTCGAAACAATAGAAAAAGAGGGAATCCTCCCTATCTCATTTTATGATACCAACATTATCCTAATACCAAAACCTGGAAGAGACGCAACTAAAAAAGAAAATTTCAGGCTGACATCTCTGATGAACAATGATGCAAAAATCCTCAATAAAATACTGACACACTGAATTCAAGAGAACATCAAAAAGCTTATTTGTCATGATCAAGTAGGTTTCATCCCTGCCATGCAAGTCTGGTTCAAGATACGCAAATCTAAAAATGTAATCCATCACATACACAGAACCAAAGACAAAAACCACATGATTATCTCAATAGATGCAGAGAAGGTCTTCAACAAAATTCACCAGCCCTTTATGCTAAAAACTCTCAATAAACTAGGCATTGATGAACTGTATCTCAAAATAATAAAAGCTGTTTATGACAAGTCCACAGCCAATATCATGCTGAACAGGCAAAAACTAGAAGCATTCCCTTTGAAAACTGTCACTAGACAAGTATGCCCTCTCTCATCACTCCTATTTAACATAGTATTGGAAGTTCTGGTCAGGAAAATCAGGGATAAGAAAGAAATAATAGGTATTCATTTAGGAAAGATGGAAATCAAATTGTCTCTATTTGCAGATGGCATAATTGTATATTTAGAAGCCTCTGTCTTCTCAGCCCAAAATCTCCTTAAGCTGTTAAGCAACTTCAGCAAAGTCTCAGGATACAAAATCAATGTACAAAAATCACAAACATTCCTATACACCAATAACAGACAAACAGAGATCAAAATTATGAGTGAATTCCCATTCACAATTACTACAAAGGGAATAAAATACCTAGGAATACAAATAACAAGGGATGTGAAGGACCTTTTCAAGTAGAACTACAAACTCAAGCTCAAGAAAATAAGAGAGAACACAAACAGATGGAAAACATTCCATACTTATGGTTAGGAAAAATCAATATCATGAAAATGGCCATACTGTCCAAAGTAATTTATAGATTTAATGCTATCTCCATCAAGCTACCATTGACTTTCTTCACAGAATTGCAAAAAACCACGTTAAGCTCTTTAAGGAACCAAAAAAGAGCCTGCATAGCCAACACAATTCTAAGGAAAAGAATAAATCTGGAGGTATCACACAAACTATACTACATGGCTACAGTAATCAAAACAGCATGATACTGGAACCAAAACAGGGATATAGACCAACAGAACAAAACAGGGGCATCAGGAATCATGCCACACATCTACAACCATGTAATCTTTGACA